TGCTGTGCTCTTTTGGTTCCACATGATAGCTATACACTAGTGATTCAATATTGACTGCAACACCAGAGGACTTGGAAATTAGACTTGTTTAAGGCTATTAGCCTTGGCTAGAACAGTTATTCAAAGAGTTGAGGGAATTGGAAATTACAATAATCAATTTTTAAAAACACAGGCAATGTGGATGTAAGAAGCCCTTCTGGACTTGAGACACCCAGAACAGACATTTACAATTAGCTACTGGCACACAGCCGGCTAGCATAACAGCTCCTTCACCATGGATTTTGCTGTGGCTATTTGAGAGGGCCAACCTGAGGGCAGGGGTCTCTAGGTGGCCAGCACTCAGCAAATGCTTCTCCCCATAGCAAGTAATATTGAGATTTGGGCCCACTGTTCTTAGAGGTCAGCACTTCTGCTGGTCTAAGATGCATGCTAACTTTGGGCTGTTTGAGATTGGAAAGGCTGAGTTCTCATGGAGCAGTCCACAGTTCTTTTAACTGTGCCCAGGTTTTTGGGACCCAGCATCAGGAGTCAGTTGTACTGATAACTTGAATTAACTCAAAGTTTTATTGAACTGCCTGACCGCTGTGCAAAAAAAGGTATAGCACGGACTAGAGAGATGGCTCAGCAATTAAAGCTCTTGACACTCAAGCATGAAGCCCAGAGTTCAAATCCCCAGAATCCACATAAATGCCAGGTAGGCATAGTAGCCCACCTACTATTCTAGTCTCAGAAGCCTAAGACAGGCTCTCTAAAGCAGGCTAGCTAGTAAAAACAGCCTTATCAGTGAGCTCAGGGTTTGATTGGGAGACCCCATTTCAATGAATAAGGTGGAATAAATAGGATGATTCCCAACATCAACCTCAGGTCCCCACATTCATGCACCCATGTGTACATGCACCCCACACATACATGTGCCCACACGCATGCCTCTGTGTACCCCAGGTGTCCCACACACACACAATTACAAAACATACAATGAGCAGCCCAGGGATGGGCTGGGACAGGGTTACTATGCATCTCAGTGGATATGAAGAATGCACCACGGCACTGGGAGGAGGGAGGTTCTGGGAGGCTTTGAGTTAAGATTTGCTATGGCAGAAACCATGGCCTTTCGTGACAAAGAGCCTACTAAATGGTTTCCAGGGCATAAGAGCTCAGGTTAGTCATACCTTTTAGTTTACCCTGTTACTCTCTACCTTACTGTACCCTGAAGAGCTGGTCTCTGCATCAGCAAGGCTCTCCTACCCTCCAGCTTTCAGACAAGATGGAAGAAGCCTGGGTAGAGAGGATAGGATGCCAGGGTAATGGAAGCCTGGGTTAATTATTCCCCCAGCATCCTTCTGCAGGCTGGCAGCAGCTGCCTCCTTCCTTTGTAGGCTGCAGTGCCTGGAGGCAGTCAATCCCTTCTTCAGCTGCAGCCCCTTAGTATCCCATTAACTGCCTGCCTGTCCCTGCCCCTTCAAGTCTAGGACTAGTGACAGCTGCTCTGTTCCTGTCATTCTGAAACCTGGTCCAGTGACAGCTGTAACTGCTCCTCGCTTGCTTCCCTAATGCCCATCATCTGTAAGCAGGGCCCTGGATAACTTCATTTCTCATCTTTTCTGGTAGATGCTATCAATGCCCTGGTCAGATATTAAAGTGTTTCCTCATTAATTCCTTCCAGGTGCCAGCTTGAGATGCAACCCCAAAGGGTGGCATTTGCCATGTGCCACAATGCTTGTTCCCTTCTCCCTAGAGGCCCAGCCACTCAGGGGAAGAGAGACTAGAACCCAGATCTCCTGCCTCGTAGAGCAGGGTTCCTGTCACTCTGCTCCCTGGGGGTGCGGCCTGACATCTGGGGAGGGCAATCAAGCCTAGGGATGGAAGTTTCTTCCTGATGGCACACATTCACTATGGCAGCAAGGCATCCAGGCAGCACCAACCCATCTATTCACAGGTCTAGGTGGTAAGGGCAGGGAGTCAGCTTCCCCAACCCCTGCAGCATTCATGAACAAGCAAGCTCCAGACTGCAGGCAACTGTGGCACCTTTTGTGGGCTTCCATAGCCACTAACCTGTTAACTTCCCTCCCGCTGCCCTTCCAACACCTTTGCAATCACTCTCCAAGATTCTCCTAATGGGAGCACCTAGAGTAGACTGTTTGTGCTAATCACTCACTACTACAGTATCTCAACTCAGTCCCTAAATATAGCTCACTCTCCACCCAGAATTTAGAAATCAGTCCCAGCACTACAGAATCCAGTTTTCCAAAAAACCCCAACCTTGGGAGCTGCTTCTGAGAAATTCTACATTATGGCCAGAAGATGGCAGTGTGCTGTCATGCCTGCTAGAACTTACTTGAAGCCAGAAACCAGCAGTGAACTCCTAACTGAGCTTCAGATTTTTCTTGCTTGGGGAGGGGGGTGGTTCTTTGTAGGGTGTAGACAATCGTCTCATGAGCATGTGAGCCTGATAATCCAAGCATTCAGGAAGCAAATCCCACCTTGCAGTTGAGGAAGAAATTTTCTTCCAAACATCATTAAGATACCTCTTCCTTCAATTTTTGGTAAATTTGGAATTGGCTGAACTATCATCCTTAAAAACAATTTTTACTGGGTGTGGTGGTGCCCATCTTTAATTCCAGCACTGTAGAGGCAGAAGCAGGCAGATCTCTGTGAGTTTGCAGACAGCCTGGTCTACATAGTCAATTCCAGGCCAGCCAGGCCTCAAAAAAAACCCAGAATTTATTTGTTTGCTTGCTTGTTTGTTTGTATATACCCTCGGCTGGTCTGGAAATTATGTAGATCAAGCTGGTCTAGAACTTGAGTAATCCTCCTGCTGCTGCCTCTCAAGTACTGGGATTGTAAGTGTGTACCACTGTGCCTAGCAAAGAGAAAACTTAAGATCTCAGTACTCAAGAGGCTGAAGGAAGGGTTAACTTCAAGATCTAGGCCAGCCTGGGCAAAGACCACCTCAAAAAGAGAAAATTATATATGTATGCATATATACACATATACTTATTTTATGTATTAGTGTTTTGCCTGCATGTAAGTGCATCCATGTATGCAATGCCCACAGAACAGAGAGGTCAGAAGAATGTGTCAGATTCCCTGGAACTGGAGTTACAAACAGTTGTGAGCCACCATGTGGGCCCTGGGAGCCAAATCCCAAACCCTGAGAGAAGCCAGTGATCTTAACTTCTGAGCCATCCCTCCAGCCCCTGGGTGTGTTCTTTAATGTGTTATCCTTACATGAGCCTGAGCGGTGGTACAGACATCAGTAGGTACTGCTGCCTAACAGAGAAGACCAGGCAAGCCTATCCTGTGGGGCCCCCAGCACAACCCAGACTTCCTGCTGACAATAGCCAAAAGGATCTAGAGTGAGGTTCCAAGTGACTTCCAAAGTGATTTCAATATTTATCAGAACAAATTCGGCTGTTCTACCCACTAACATCATTCTTTATAACATTTTTTTTTTAAGTACTAAGAGGCTGGAGAGACAGCCCAGTGGTTATAAGCACTGGTTGTTCTTGCAGAGAATCCAGATGTGGTTGGTTCCCAGCACCAACATAGCAGCTCACAACTGTAACTCCAGTTTCAGAGGTAGCCAATGTCCTCTCTGGCCTCCACAGGGTCCTGGGAGCACTTACTATGTGCACTTACATACAGGCAAAATACTCATACACATAAAAATAAATCAAAAAAACTTTTAATAAAAACATAGAATGCCTAGATCTTCTAACCATTTGGACAATTATTCCAATATTTAAATTGGCAAAAGCTATTTTAATAAAGTAAGTCACTTTGTAAGTTCTTCAGGTAAAAATGAGAAAAGGTCCTTGGTATACTAACGAGTTTGTAGAAAACAGTTAAGTGGGGGGGGGGGGGACATTTTTGTAAA